GTCCAAGTGGATCTTCTGGAGGCATAAACCTGAACGGATTACTCTGAGAAACGACAGGGGTTTCCTTTTCTGGAGGACTTACTTCCCATCCACAAAGCTGTACATGAGCAGACGCTGCTCTACAATTCGGCGATATTGAGGGTGTTCTCGAAGCAGATCTCTGAAACATGATGGATTCCTTCCTGAAGCTTTTGAGGGTTGGGTAAATGTACCTGTAGGCGTCGTTCGACACAACTACGGCATCTTTTTCTTCTGCTGTTTTGAGTATGTACAGGTCGTCATGGCAGACGATTCGGCGGCCATTTATGCGTCTATAGGAGAAAATTCAGAAGATGACAATAGCCTTTTGAGGTCTACAGAATGGCAAGGAGTAAAGAGAACACAATCTATGAATGTGAATTACAGGAATGGCAGAGTGTGTAATGATTTGGACGCAAGAATTGCGATAAGATCCTTGGTGAACTTCTCTCTTTGAGTAAGATAGCATGAATAGGGCACTCACTATTTACCATTTACTGCCTCCCCTCAAACTGAGCCGGATTTTGATCGAAATTCGTCCATGACTAAGGATTTGCTAGAAAGTTGTTCCGGGGTATTTCGACCCGTAGAACACGAATATCACATCGGTTTAGCGCGAAAACGCTTGGCGCCCGCGCCACAGGCGCCGGCGCTATCACAACAGTTTTGCGCGGGCGCCCGTAGCGCAGGCTACAGGCTCACTCGCAACGAACTAATGTGATATTCATGCTCAGCTGGTCTAATCACTTCAAACGATAAGCTCCCAGCGAATTTGGTGATCCAAGGTGCCCTAGCGCCTTTGGCGCCGGCACCTGTGGCGCGGGCGCCAAGCGTTTCCGCGCTAAAATGTGATATTCGTGTTCTACGGGTCGTATTACCCCCGAGGATACTTTCTATCCAACAAAATCCACAACCATGGAGGAATTTCGATGAAAATCCAGCTCAGTTTTCGAGGAGTGGGGCAGTGAAAGGGAAATAGTGCCAAAATAGCAAGCTCGGCGTTGATCGATCCTTTCTGAGACGCGCCATGCATCCTGCTTTCCTTCAGGATCGCATTTTCAATGCGAGATGGCTTATGCAATGAGCGTGAGACAACCGACATTCAAGTCCGTGTTTTCGGTCCCAATTCGTCGTACCTATAGGCATGGAGAGCCTGATTAGCCTCCACGGCGTGCGAGCCAGGATTTGATTCCGTCACTGCCCGCATTGTAAACAGCGCCATTCGCCACTACGCAACACGCACAACAACTACTACAACTAGATCTTATATGTTCCTCGAAAACATTTGCGTACTGTTTGCTCATTTCATGATAGAGAACCTGGTGAGTATTCCCAGACTATTGAATAAGAGTTTTGGGAGGTTTTGGTTCAATGGCCTCTGGGACAGTAATATCGGCAAAAGGAGTCGTTCAAAAGACTACAGGACAGCTAAGACTCTGAACTGAGCTCGGAAGGCGGCATTTTTTCTTGGTAATTTTATCATTTCAGCGGAATACAAGGCACACGATCTTCCTGCTTTTTGTTCTTGTACAATATGCAGAAAGGGCCGTCCTAATGACCTTATAAAGTGAACAGATCACGTAAAAAATTCACTAGCGTGGGACTAAGAGATCAGCTTCTCCATTACAATTAATATGCCAGGAAAATGAGGGTACGGGCAGTTTTTAGCTCAGGAATTGAAAAAGCTCGAGAGTGAGAACAAGAGATATGAGAGAGAAGCGACGTGGACAGAAAGTACCTTTGGACAAGACGAGGTGTGCACCCTGCCTTTCAAAAAGAAAAGAGCGTCGGGTGCAGACCACACACCACAAGTGACGACGGCCTCCAAGTAAATCTGGTTAGTAGTGGTTCATAGTGATAGCTGATTTTTGGTAAATGATAGTTGTAATTAGTGACAACTGATAGAATACAACTGCAACAGGCTAATCATTTCATTGGCAGAAAACATTTACATTTTGTGGAGGCCGTCGTCACTTGTGGTGTATGGTCTGCACCCGACGCTCTTCTCGTTTTTTGAAAGGGAGGGTAAGGCGATCGAATGGACTCACCGTGAAGGTGTCCAGACGATTCGCCGCTCGGCGTCCAGCTCGTCCAAAATATGCTGGTCAGTGATGGGGCAGTCTGCTCTAGCCGTTTCTCGCCTGTAAATATAGTCGGTGACCTTTACTTAATCAACAGCTAACTGTTCCGAGAGCGTGACTACAATACCTGAATTGTGGGATGAACACGAGCACGTCATCGTGACCTCGATCTGTGAAAAATCGTACGCAATCACGAATTCCCGCACAGGAGAACATTTCTTTTCGTCCGTGCCTGAACATACACACCTCAAATTGTGATCCAGAAATTGTAGCTCAAAAGCTGCACATGCACCAAGCAAAGGGCTG